TTCCTGCAACTCGCTTCGAATCACAAAGAGCCGTTCTCCGCGCTCTCTCTCTCTCTCTCTCTCTCTCTCGCTCGTCTAGCATTTAATTAGTTCAACTCCCATGGCGGCGGGCCGACCAGTTGGTTTATTATTGCTCTTGGCAGGCTTCAAGCCGAATGGAATTGGCCGCCGTATAATTTTCTCGGTTTTATACAACCCATTCGAAGCTGAAGTCTTTGAGATTAAGCTCTTACTTCTCTTACTGCACGATATGCCTCTTATATCCGCATAAGACATATATATCCTTTATATAAAATGAAACACTGAGAATGTAATATAAATCAATTCTAATAATCGATTTATATCAATTTCAAATAATACACGCGTTTTTTACTACAAGAATATATGCATGAATATATGTTGTACAATACGCGAAACATTGCAATTAAAGAATTTCCAATTTTTCACTTTATTTTTATAGAAAGAATTTTTTTTTAAATCTATGTTTACGATTTATCAAACTAGATTTATGCTATTTATCTCGGATGTGTATGAGAGAAGAATTTGTGAGGCGCATTGTATGTCTATTGATCTCTCTGATGGAATGTAATTTTTGCAGCGTTCTCTCGGGATGTATGGAAGCCGTCTCATCCGTCCGTGATGGAATTCGGGCGGACAAGCAGAAGCACGGGTTCGCCCGTTTCGAGAACATTCCCGAAGGCAACGTTCGGATTGTCGACTTTTCTGAAACGAGCGGACGAGAGGCTGATGATGACGATGTCGTCAAGGGGATAACGCAGGTCGCGGGTGGCAGGTTCGAAAATCCTCTGTACAGATCTAAGAGGGATAAGACGGAGGGACGTAAGATTCTCGATGCGCCTCTCAACCTCGCCACTCTTAAAAGTCAGATAGATGATCTGGAAAATAAGGAGATGGATACCGAAGAATAAGAATATCGTTGTTATTCAATTACGTTATATTACGCTAATTAAGTTTCGTGATCCTAATTGTGGAAATAGTTGAGATTATTGAATGATAATTACAAATTTTTGAAACTTTAGATTGGCTTAAAAAAGATGTATCATACACATTCTCTTTTTTATATTTTATCTTTTTTTTTAAATAAAATCAAGATATATCTTGGAGATTTTGAAACAAAGGATTGAAAATTTTTTTCAGATGGGGCATAAATAATACATTGAAATCAATATTGTATATGTATGTGTTTGTCTCGAACTTATAGAATTTCGTAAAACGGTAGATCTTTTGCATCTAATAAGATATAAAATAAAGATATAAGATAGAAAATTTATTTTCGAGAGAAAAGACAAGGTGAATAGTTTCGATTGCACATTATGCAAATTATATAAAGCGTACAAGGGAGATGTTAGCTCACAAGTATTTATTTCTTATTGTCGGACAACATCCATTCGAAACTGCAGCACCACGTGTTACATCAATCACGAGGCTACCGCGCTTTATCGCATAGACAAATTATATGCACATATAAATTCGACATAGTCGAATAATATAATATATATATATCTATATTTATGTGTTTTTGTTAATATATGTAAGGACTCTCTGGATAAATATAGACGTCTAATTACATGATATATAGACGCGTGGCATTTGTATCGCATATAAGATATAAATGATAAATCGTGATAATGATGAATCGTGATAGTGATAAATGTATCGTAACAGACAACGGTGCGATTTCCTTCATCATTTTGAACGTTTATGTAATTTGTCGTAAAATATATCATCTATATATATATTCATTGCATATATATATATACACAATGTATATTATATTAATGTATATACATATAATCATCTATAAAGTTCCATTCGTAGAATATATTAACTCTCTGTATTTTCGATAAAAATTATTATTCTGCTGCTTTGTACAGATATATGATCTCTTTATCGTACGCGCGTATGACGAATTAAAACCGAATATGTATATGTACGCAGACGAAAAGTCTCTGATCCCTCTCATCGGTGCTTAAGATGCTTTGATAAAGTCCACAAGATAAATGAAAAGTGTTTTTCCATTCACATGTACGTTAACGTTTAATCGATTACTATCACTTGTTTCATTTATTGACTTTTTCATTGACTTTCCTTCGGCAATATATGCTTAGTAGATCTTTCTATGCATTTTTCTAAAGAGCCGGCATCGATTTAAAGTTATATTCAATCTTCTCGCATAAAAATTATAATTTACTATATGCATACGCATGTACAGTATGGTTTGCAAAAAACAGAAATTAGCAATAAAGATGCATTTCAATAATTTTGATGAATTCTAATTCGGGTCAATTCTAATTCGCCAAAAATGTTAAATTGGAAATATATGAATGGAATAATTTACTTTTAATTATTAAAAGTAACATATATAAATCTCTAGAATATAAATAAATGATTTTGTAGCCATCCTATGTACGTACGCATTTTGCGCTTAATTATTATACGGAGAATCATGTGTTATCGAAATGTTAAGTGATATAATAATAATAGTACAACGATAATCGCTATTCATTCTGCAAACACTCATGCGAGGTATGTGTGATCTTTTAATACGAATCTCTCTCTCTCTCTCTCTCTCTCTCTCTCTCATCATCTCTTGGTCACGCGATACGACACTAAATCCTAATAATTATTTGGCAATTACGTGAAAAAGGGGAAGAGGGAAAAAATAGAGTTCTTCTTGTCTTGTGCGCATTGGTCCCTTTCCACGACTTTCATACGGTAAGTAATCGCGAGATTTGCCTTTATACAGAGCACGATCTCGCGCGATCTTATGCTATAATTGTGAAACAAAATTACGAAGAAAGCAACTAAGAATACCGATGATGATATAAAGCGGACGGGTTCTCCACGCACGACGACGTTCGATTAGCTTCGGCTTTAAATCACAAATACATAATACAGCTTCACGTTTGAGAACGGTCACGAAATCAGGATCCTACAATTCCCTCTCAATCGTCTTCGTGTATATAAACGACGGTAAAAAGCCAGCCGCCGCATAATCTACTTGTATTGACTTGCAAATGTAACATGGATTTTAGACGATTTATCGTGTGGACGTGAAAAACATATATCCTACATCCGTGAACTTCTATCTTATTAAATATTCTTATTACACGCTTCAAACTGGCGCGGAATAAATTGTCGTTGCGCACGATCGATCATCTTACAATTAGAAGCCGATCAATCCAACGTCTGTCGGCGTTAACGATAGTGTCCTATAAGAAAATAGCAACATCGTCGACTTGATGCAAAATTGATTTCATCAAGTCGCGATCTACATGATATATAATCTTATTGTACAACTAGATATCTTTTCTAAATGAAACGTAAATGCAATCATTCATTTTGTCGATAGTGTCGAATTTACTTTCACGTCACAATATTAATATATAATCATACTTTCCTCTTTTTAACTATAAAATGTGTCATATATTATATTTCATATAGTGTATACGCACACGCAAAACCCTTTAACGAACTCTGTGTCAAAGGGGACTAAATATCGATATATATTCTCTCTTTATTTTGGATCCCAGGAATATTCCTTCGAGTTTCAAACGATTTAAAATATCGTCACCATATTCGAAATACAATATAGCGAATAATCAGAAGGTCATTTACATTTGGGAGTTCTTTCTTTCGAAACTTCTCATTGCATCAAGTTAGGCAATGATCGATAACTGACTTTCGTAACTCGCATTTTACGGCTAAAACATCCGAATACCAAATCCTCATATTTTTTACGCCTTATTAAAATTAGAAAGAACTCATATTAAATGTACAATAGTGAGAAATAAATTAGCCGTCTAAATGACCTCTGATGTGTAATGCGGATTGTGAAAAAAAGATAAAAATAATATCCGTAAAGGCACTCCTGGCGAAAATATAATCTAGCAAAAGATATAATAATGTATATATATATATATAACTGTTATATAAGAATATACATATATATTGGTGTTAAAAGCCTTAATTGTTGCCAGGAAACACTGAAGCCATTTGCACTCCATGTAAATTTTCAGTCGCGCTTGCGCTGCAAAAAACTTCATCGTGTGTATGAGGAAGACATTCTAGGAATGTAAAGAAATTGCACTAATCCCTAAAAATATACTCTGTTTAAATCTGTGACTTAGCAATAGCAATAAATCGCTCTTATCAACGACGTCTCTCGAATCCTCTTTATTGAATAAAGAACAATTGTAATAATAGTCTCTGTATATGGAAGAGCAAATAGACAAAAAACGGATACTTAAATCCGTGTTAGCGCCGGTGAAAGATTTGAAAATCTAAAATCTGTTTCGAGGCTTTATAATTTTCAATCCCCCGGAATAATATCGAGAAGCACAGTCGTGAACGTTATCGTTACGATATTCGTAGGAATTAAAATCAATTTCTGAAATACTCGATATCATCAGAGACAAAATTCGATGATATCAAATGTGGACTTGAGCCATTAAAAGACAAATAAATCTAAGATTGTTGTAGCTGCAGCAGAGCCTGAAGACGTTGCAACTCTTTGAGTAATTCACGGTTCGCGTCCTCCAAGGAATTCAGCCTATCCCTGTAGGAGGAATTCTCATTTGTCAACATCGTGACTCGCCTCTCCAAGCCGTCCATATATTCTTTCTTTTTCCTACGCGATTCCTGCGCCGATATCTGCAAAACATACCACACTAATCAATCTCATTCACGCCACATTCGTAATTTCGCACAGTTTGGAGTCAATATTTGATTTTAAATATACAGAGTATATAAAACGTTATTTTTTTACATACCTTGTTCTTGATTTTTCTTCGCACTTTCTTCAAAGATTTCTCCTCTTGTTTCGTCAGAGGAAGCTTTGTAGGCACTGGATAACCCTCGGCTATCAAGGTTCTCTTTTCTTCTTCCGTCAATGTCAACACGCCCGTCGATCCTTTCTGTAATGCCAATCGCACGTAAGTGTTCACATCACATATACATGTATGTATATTGGATCAATAAATTTGACAGTAAAAATGGATCGTTATTTTGCGGGTAGAGCGAGCGACAGTAGAAATAAAAGTATAAAACTCATCCATAAGAGTACCGAGTTTGTTTATGGAGATCCGGTAACTTTGTTGATAAAACGCGGTATATGGTCACATACGCTAATATTATACGTATTATGTAAACAGACAGCTCTTGGTTTTCAGGTCAGAGAGTAATTTTTAAAAATATTGCATACTCATTGTTTTTTTGCATACATAATATATAGACTATTTAAAGTAACAAAATCCCGTTTTCTTTATACAAAGTCGCATAATAAAATTATTTGACAGGTGACATGTGTAAATAAGAATATAAATAATGAATATTGCGTTTTTCACTATAAATCATTGTTTTCTTCCGAGCGCAAATAATTTGTTGTTTCCAAAAAATATTTCCATATTATCAGTAACAAATATAAAAATATATAGAGTAGAATATTTTTCTTCGAGATTTCCGTTTTTCTTTCTTAATAATTTGTAGCTTATTTATAACTGTGCTAAATTCACATCAGCTTAATGGATTTAGCAATTCGCTCAGTCACCGGTGTCAAACTCTTTTAGATGGTCTTACCGGCTGACAGGAAATCAGAGGCGTATGAATGGGCTGTCTGGTGGTGTGAGTGCCATTGGTGACGTAAAGCCTCGGCGCCAGTAAGCCCCTGAGATTTTGCGTAGATGTCTGGGAATCTCGGCGTTCCGGCGAGCAGGAAGCGGAAGCGGTACCCTCGCTATCGGAGCTTGCGCTGCTGGGTGGCGTCGGTGGCAACCCCTGTCTCGATGCACGTAAGGTCGTCTCCTTCCCTTCGCAGATTACGCCGTACTCTTCGATCTCCATGCTCTGAGAATAATTGAGAATAACGATGACAAATCCGTCGTACTAACAATCGTTTAAATAATAACGTGCAGTTTGATTAAATCGAAAAAAAAACTTTTGTTTTTTATAATTTATTGGAAGATTATATTAATAAACTTTCTTTTTGTATTTTTGTATTTTTTATATTTTGTTTGAATAAATTAGAAAAATTAAAACGTTGAGTAAATGTTGAAAATATTACGAATGGATAGAATAAATTTAACGCTGGAGTATATTTTATCTTTCAAATCACATGTATGCGTGACGTAAGATATGGATTTAATCAGAAATATACCTGATAATACTCTTCGTCATCCTCCTCGCTGTCACTCATATGCGAAAGCTGAGTTTTGGCAAAGTGAAGACTCTGCGGTGACACTATTGTTATCGTGCTCTTATCATCGACCATGTCGCAACTCGGTTGACAAGGTGCGCAGGGACTGGCCGGCGCGCTAATAGGTTCACCCTTGATTTCCGGACACTCATTATCTTCAGGTACTACGTTGTTTCTCTTGAGGATTACGGTCGAGGTAGATGATGACGACGACGATGACGACGATTCGACGCGGCTTGAGGCGTTGCTTATCGAAATAGCCGGAAAGCATTCGTCTTCCATATCTGAAATAACATTTTCTATTGGGTATTCTTTCTCGTAGTCTTCAGAAAGCATTTTTAAAGAAAGAGTAATGCGAGGAATTCGAGGAAAAATAAGATAACATATTTTTATACTGCATTTCCGATATTATAATGTCGTTTAAGGAGGAAAAAAAGATCGGGTCGCGCGGTATCATCTTACCATCGATTCTGCGAATATCGAGAGACTTCTGATCCAGATTGGCAAAATCGATGGAGGAACTAGTATTCGATGTGCTCGAGCCAACCGCGCCGGAACCCGAATTGGGCGTGTGAGGATTAACTCCTGGCGTGGCTGGGCTCGGAGGAGGACTGTGAGCCAGAAGGCTATAACTATGTTCGGATTTTATCGGTCGTGGTCCACCGAGAGCCGCATCTGTCATTAACCGATCTCTCAGGACCACGCTATCCCTAAGGCTATTACCCCATTCCTCTTCTTTGGTACTCATTAAGACATCCTGGCTGAGTATCTGCAATATGAAGAAGAATTTAATGGAATCTCTTAAAGAAAGAAGAGAGAGAACAGATAAATAATAAATTTATAATAATAAAGTATAGTTTCTATTAGAATATTTAAAAAAAATAAATCGTCAAACACTTTCGAAACATGCTTTATTCATTTAAAAGATGAAAATAGATTTTGTACAGTCATAGATCCGCATATAAAATCGGATAAAAAAGACTCTAAACCTACGACCTATGATTAATCCGCATCACAACCAGTTTATGTGTGTACCATACTTTGTATAATATTCCGAGTCTGTATTATTCCGTCGAGACTCGCTCTCTAAGAAATCCGTTGTCACACGTGATAGGCATCGACGCGGCTCGCGCGAGAGAAGAAGGACCGATCGAACGTGACAGATCGATCCTATGCACATGAAAATTTCACACGAAAATTACAACGTAAGTACGCGACTCAATGAACAGAGGAGGCGAGGGGCAGCGTCTGCAGTTGTCAATGGCCACATTGCTCGTCGTCTCGCGGCGAGGTGTCAAGGACCCCGCGCGCGCTCTTCTAAAATTATATACGCGAGTAGTTCCGCGTGCGGTCGCACGCGTATATATGAAAGCGAAGGGGAAGGGCGGTTCGAGTTGAGCGGTCAAGTTGAAGGTCGGCCATTATTATTATCCGAGATAGTCCAAAGGTAGAGCCGCCGGTAGCAACGATTGGCTCCGCGTCCTTCTGCCGCTCTATGGGGTCCCTCCTCTTGTCCAGCGCGACCCAGCAATGCGGAACCCACGTTTATACCACCAAGGTCGAGGTGAGGGGGGAGGGGGTCTTTTCGTCTTCTGCTAACGACACGCTGTTGCTACCAGCTATGACGACGACGCTTTTCGCTTCGCTGCCGTTTCTCCGTTCGCTTTGCAAATCTTTCTTTAGTCACGTGGACTTCCTCGTTATGCATGGTTTGTCTTGTATAAGCAAAATATCGGCTACGCGAATGATATGACTCAAAGGTTGTTTGTTTGTTTGTTCGATGTTGCGTATTTATAATATAGCTTGATGATGATAATAATTTATTGATTTAAAGGAATAGAGGCGATACGTTCGAGTGAAGTTTTCTGAGACCGTATTCTATAATGCTGTTTCTTCGCTTCAATAACAATCGATTGAGGAGCATTGCTCGCTGTTTCACTTCTAACTCGCTTTAATTCATCCTTCCGTTTGCCTCTGTGTCGGAGTCCTGCTATTCATCCTCTTCATTATGGTCCCCCTAATTTGGATGGAAATGTAGTAATTTTCTGCAAGTGGATAATTAGTTAGAATGGAACTTATTTGCAACCAACAACGCGGAACTCTCTTAAAACTCACGAGTCATCTTTGCTTTCCTCCGCTATTCTCTTGTTTCTATTGTTCAAATCTTTTCGCGAAAGTGTTTATCTTTATCAATCAGCATCGTAATATCTTACGTAATAATTCATTGCGTACTAATAACAGCTAAAGGAAGTCGAGAGATTTGTAGATAAAATGTAGTCTTTCGAAGAGATCGGGGGAAGAGGGGGGGG